TTAAAGAAAGGTTCCTTTCAATGGGGTTCCCATAAAGGTTCTACAAACCCAAAGGGTCCTAGGCACTGTTTTGGGGGATACTTTCCCGAATCATGGCATGTATTCCTAAATGTAGAAACACTACATTCTACTATATAGGTACCTGGGCTAGTTTAGAATAGATCATCGGTGCCCCCCACCCATGTGAGGGGTACCGTCTTTCGCCCGTGGATCACATGGCCTCGAGGCCCCGGGTTTAATAGGATCCCCACAAAAAGCACGCAAAGATCAACTGGTTCTCGGGAGTCTCCATGGGGGGTGGTTCTCTGAATTAGGGTCCCTGTTAGGGTCCTTTTTTTAATATAATAAGGGTGCCATAAAATATTGGGGACTGAAAAAATATATGAAAAGGGGCCCTAATGCAGAGAACTAGCCATGGTAGCTCAGATTCTAGAACATCACCGTCACCGTCGCAGGAGGCCCACATGCCCCAGAGGGAGGAGAAGAGCCCTGAGCCAACTTAAGCCTAAACCCCAAACCCCAAACCCTGAAGCCCTAAACCCTAAAGTAAACCCTGAAGCCCTAAACCATAAACCCTAACTAAGCCCTGAAACCCTGAAACCCTAAACCATCCGAAATTTGCGTGCTTTTTTGGGCCCCTTGTGTTTCCAACCTCGCCAAGGATTCAGAAAAGAACAGCTGCGCGGACAGCTGCACAAAGTTTCGGCCGGAGGACATACCCCGGTCTCTTGCGACGCCTTAAATTAAAGGAACTACAGGTGGGGAGCTTAGGGTATATAGGGCTTCTATAAGGTATATAGACCTTCTATAAGGCTCCTATAACGGTAACTGCCCACCTGAAAATGTCTTAAGGATTTGTGATTAGGGTTTTGGGCTTTCGGATGTCAGAGTTCAGGGGTTTAGTGCTGTTTTAGGGTTTTGGTGGTTAGGGCTTGGGGCTTTCGGTTTCAGTGCTGTTTTAGGGTTTTGGTGGTTAGGGCTTGGGGCTTTCGGTTTCAGGGGCCGCAGAAGACGTAAACCCGAAACCCTCGCCATAGAAAAACAGCAGAAGCGCAGCAAAACCCTAAGCCCAATCCCCTCAGACCGAAACCTTGTATCTGTGTCTAACCCTAAACCATCAACCCTAAACCCCAGACCATCAACCACTGAAAGTCATGAATTGAAGTTGATGATCAACACGTCGCTCATGCTGCGATACATCGCAGCAAGGAATACCGAAAGGATCAGGGCTTCCTCAGCAGGCTGTGCTGTCTTAAATAGGCTGATGATCTACATCCTTGGCATTACCTCAAGGACCCTAAAGTATGGGAATTATGGTATACGCCTCACCACGGGAAACGCAGGATTCATATCATCAACCGTATGTCTTGGATCCAATCCCTAAACCCCGTTATTGTGGGTTCAGGTTGACAATAGGTGGGGCTAGCTCCTGAGCGTTTACAGGTTCACCTTGACCCAACCACGAACACGTTGAGAGACACCCTCTTAAAGGAAACTACAGGTGGGGAGCTTCAGGTATAGAGGGCTTCTATAAGGCTTCTATAAGGTATATGGACCTTCTACAAGGCTCCTATAGCGGTAACTACCCACCTGAAAATTTCCTAGATGTTGAGAGACACCCTACCCACAGGAAGGTAACTTCAGAGCCCTGAGGTATTCAAACGGCCGAAAGGAATGCTCTCAAGCAAAGCCAAGAAGCTTTCGCCGGATATGGGTAGTTCTCTCAACTAGGATCCTTTCTAGGTCCCCAATATAGGGTTTTAGGGTTTAGGGTTTAGGTAGGGTTTATGGTTTAGGGTTTAGGTAGTAGGGTTTAGGGCTTAGGGTTTCGGACCCTAAAAGGGACCTTAATTTAGAGATCCACCCATATCTTTTCAACGTCGAGACGACACGGTGGCAGCTGGCATGCTCCCGGATTCGCGGCAGGCCCCAAAGGGAAAGTCATTTATTACGAGCTTTGGCTTCTCTTGGGAAGCTAGATGCCTTTGTCTCGGTTTAGGGTTTCGGGTTGAACGGTATAGCCCCAAACTCTACTAAACCCTAAGCCCGAATGGCCCCGAACCCCAAACCCTAAACCCTAGAGCCCCAAACCCTAAACTCCTAAACCCTAAAACCCTAAAGCCCCAAACTCCTAAACTCTTCCCCAATAATAAGCCAGGGAAAAATAAAGGTTAAACTTTCAGGTTACTACTACATTGTAATAACCGAAAAAGTTTAAAGGTTGGGTATTGGGGAACCAAGAAACTCTTAAGCTTAGGGCTAACGAGGGGTTGAGAGCCTTGCCGGTTGAGCTTTGCGTGCCTCGGGTCTCAGACTTCTGCAACGATACACGGGATTTAGGGTGTGAATTTGGGGCTTTAGGGTTTAGGGTTTGAATTTGGGGCTTTATTTAGGGTTCATGCGATCCTGTCACCTTAACCCTAAGGGCCCAAAGGACCCAATAGTTAGATACTTTGGTTACGGATAGTTATGTAGGTTAATATTTGGGAGGGTACATGATTATTAAGTACTTGGACCCTTAGGGCAAGGACGACATGAACCCTCTAAGGGTTTAAGGTTCATATACCATATAGGGAGATCATAGTAAAAGGGTATAGGGCCCCTACTTGTAAGGGTCATTTCGTCCTTGGGGCATGCCCTCCCTAAGCCCTCTAAGCCCTAAACCCTGCAAACCCAGGAAGGACCCATGGCGCAATGAGGAAAGCTGCGAAGAAGGAGCGAACGCTCCCTGGGCTGCCTCTAGTCCGAGGAACCCTCTGCGACCGTTCGCCGTTCTACTCTCTGCCGTCAAGGCCCCGGTAGGGTGGAACTTTATAGGGGTTTAGGTTAAAGGAAACTACAGGTGGGGAGTTTAGGGTTTGGGGCATTTAAGGTTTAGGGTTTAGGGTTTAGGGTTTAGGTTAAAGGAATAAAGAACCCGAAACCCTCGTCCCTAAACCTCCAAACAAGGAAACTACATGTGGGGAGTTTAGGGTTTAGGGCATTTAGGGTTTAGGGTTTAGGGTTAAGGTTAAAGGAAACTACAGGTGGAAGCTTTAGGGTATAGAGGACTTCCATAAGGCTTTTATAAGGTGTATGTATGTATGTATATATATATATATGTATAGACTTTCTATAAGGCTCCTATCACGGTAACTACCCACCTGAAACTGTCCTAGATTGTGGCTCCGGGAAAACAGGATTTACAATCTCTCCTCGTGCCTGCAAAACCCCAGCGGAGTCCTGACCCCCCCCAAAACCCCCAGGGTTTAGGGTTTTGGGTTTAGGGGTTTCGGGGTTTCGGGGTTTAGGGTTTAGGTTTACTTACTTCCCCAACATGTCAAGGAAATACAAGGTTAAGCTGTTCAACTTTCAGATTACTACTAGATGATAAGAAACCAAAAAGTTTAAAGTTTGGGGTGGAACTCAGCCCTAGACCCAACACCCAGCGCACCCTCCCGGGGCCCAGACGAAGGCCGCAGCCAAAGTTCATGCGGATCATCTCAAAACTTTCACTCTCCCTGCCTTTGGAAGACCAGAGCTAGAACGGGCCCTTTGGTAGTATAAGAACCTGATTAAGAAACCCTGGGATAATTTATTAAGGGCTCTTTATAGGAGTGCTGATGCTTTGGGGTTATAGGGCCAGGGTTTCATCAGGATCCTACAGTAGTGTACTTTGAAGGTCTGAACGGATTAGCATAGGGCTTTGGGCCCACTAAATTCTACACCCTTAGCGCCTTAAACCCCAAACTTACTATGGCCTCTGATTCTAAAACCACCACAGCCAAGCCTGAAGCTCGGATATTTCTGTCGCTGCAGCCTAACGCCTGAACCCTAAACTGTGAAACTTTGGATGGAGGGCAATAATAGGGGCCGCGATGATTAGAACAGGGTCTTGTGGTTTATTAAAATCACAATGAGGAACATGAAGCAAGAGCATTGGACGGATTTTGAAGCCTCTATCTACATTAAACATAGGCTCCCCTGTACTTCCCTAGCTTGTCATTGCAATGTAGGGTTGTTGAATTGTACTTGCCTCCCCAATAAGCCAGGGAAAGAAAAGGTTAAACTTTCAGATTACTACTAAGTTATAACAAACCCAAAAGCTTAAAGGTTGGGTATTGGGGAACTAAATTTATGCATGGGCTTATGTTCACTTGCAACAACCCTGAACCCTGTACTTAGGCGGCCAGGACCTCCGAATTCGAACAGTTGTCGGTTAGCATGGGGGCCTTTGGAACTTGAATAGGGCTTTGGTGTCCATTGTCGTATCATTTCCCTAAACCCTAAACCCTAAACCAGGATAAGGAGCCCCCAAAGACTTAGAGGCCGAGATACCACAGCCCAACAAAGGTTAACCTTTGCATCAGACTAGCGTGATACAACAGGTTACCTACTCAACCCGTCTTACTTCCCCAATAAGCCAGGGAAGTTAAAAGGTTAAACATTCAGATTACTACTAAATTATAAGAACCCAAAAGGTTTTAAGGTTGGGTGTTGGGGAACTAAGTGAGCCCTAAACGTGTGATTTAAGTCCCTCTCTGTTGGCAGGTTCCATGCCGACGCTAATCCAAGGTTTAATTAAAGGAAATTACGGGTGGGGAGTTTAAGGTATATGGGGCTTCCAAAAGGCTTCTACAAGGTATACAGATCTTCTATAAGGCTCCTATACCGGTAACTACCCACCTGAAAATGTCTTAGGTTTAGGGTTTAGGGTTTCCGAGCTGAGGGCTCCGCCCCTGTGCGGTTTAGGGGCCTAGGGGCATGCCCTACTGTTGATGATATAAACAAATCCTTAGCATTGCTTTAAGGACCCCAAACTATGGGAATTATGGCATATTCCTTATTATGGGTCATGCAGGATTTACATCATCAACCCTAGTCCCGAACCGGGTTCCTAGGCCATACCCTATTCGACCATTCCGATTATGACTTCCGGGGACGCCGCGGACGTGGTATCGTCATGATACAAACATGTAGTCTTCCTTCGTGCAACCGTCAAGTGCCCGCTTCGAGGTAGCTCATCGGCACAACGTCGAGGATCTGGACGTCGGTGCCGTGATATTTGTATCCCTCAAGAGCGCTTGCCATGAGGTCATGCTGGCATGCAGCTCGGTTGCCTGAACCAGATCGGAGATTTCTTCGTCCAGATCCTCGACGCTCGTGTAATTGTGCGTGATGTCGTTGCCTGTTTACAGTTTTAGGCTGTATTGCAGTCTTGTCAAGACTACCGGGCTCTTGCCTGAGCACACGATCAGCACCTTTGCGCACCTAGCAGGTCGTCGTGTTCGCTCGGGCCTCGGGGAACATGTCGAGCAGATTCCAGATGTGCCAACTGAAGGCCCCCCCGCCGAATCCTTTTCCCCGGAGCGGACGAACCGGCTTGGAGAAAAGAGATTCGGCGAGGGAGCCCCAGTCCCCGTTCCTTTTTGGCCATTCCTGCAGAGCGGTGATGTAGCCTTCGCGCAAACTGTAAATAAACCCGGCCTTGTTCACAGCGCACAGCGAGGAGTCGGATACAACGAGGTCGAACTCCTGACGAGAATCGCATCACATTCGTGCAACCCTTCTAATTTTAATATTTCGGCCTGCGCGGTATCGTGCAGGTTTTCTGCCAGCTTCTGGATGCCACTCGCGCTGAGATGGCATCCTCCGCGTAAAACTCGGATCCTGCGGGGCGGAGTGAGAGCATGCAACCTTTCGGAAGGAGCTGTGCCTTTGTCTCCAGCTTGTTCGAAAATGTCAGCGACCTCGTTGTTTGTTCCTTTGGCATGACGCCGCCTGGAGTACCTGTGAGAGCACGTGCTTGAGGACTCCAACACCGACCTTAAAACGAGGTCCGGGCGAAGTACTTTTGCCAGGCTTGGCTCCTTGCGATTTCATGATCACTGCACGTCTGATACAAATGACAGGGCATATAACATAAAGAAGCAACCGCGCATCTTCCGATTTGTATCATATGCGTTATTATTGCAACAGCAATATCATGTACCGTCGTGTTGTAAGCCGCATACTCAACGGGCGGACTGTCATCTGTGGAAGCCTCAGAAAACACCTGGTCCTCCTTTAAAGAAACCAAAGATTTCTGAACCTAAACCCTAAGCCCTTAAGCCGAAGCCCTAAACACACATGCTTCGCTCCGCCAGTAAGTGCAGCTACTGCAAAGCTCCTCAGTAACGCAGCATGCATAGCTGAGGGAGCATGGCCGTGCACTTGAGTCCGCAACCCAATGTGTGCGCCGAGGTCGAGCCAGACGGCCTTCGGACCTGCTGCCTTGATGGCACGTCCATAGACCTTTCCTGCAGCGGTGCAAGTCGTCGAGGACAGTAACAATGAAACATGAATACCACTTGATCGAGAAGCACTGTACGTCTCCGAGAGGCTCCCGAGCACTTCAGCGATGATGTTTTCCTCATGTCCACACTGCACGATAAGTTTCATGAACTCCTGCATGTGTGCCGTCGATGCAGAGGCGTAGGAGCGAGAGAGTAAGGCTGACATGACCGAGTGGCGTCCGACGTGCAATGTCGATAGGCCAGGGCAACGGCGCCGTACTTTATTGTACCCTCCTCTGGCACGGCACTTGGTCGTCTGATGCAAACTTGCCGCAACATCGCGTCCTGCCATTCTAACTTCAGCGCCAACTCCTGCACCAGATGAGCTAAGACAGTCCATGTCAAGGTTCACGCCATATATGGCCTCCAGATCACCGCGCTCCGCGGCCTCAGCACGGATGGTTTGCATTTACTATGAGCTTGTGTCATTGCGCGCGGCTCAGGGGGCAACAGTTGTGGGTATGTGGTACTGCTTATGGTACGCCTTCTTACCTCCAGTTGTTAGCATCGATGATGTCGGAAGGGCGATGCAGAGAGAACAGAACTGAATCGAGCAGCGACAGCTCCAGACGTGCTTCCTCTTGGGAGTCTTTTTGACGCACAACTTGCGAGCCTGGGCAGCGGGACGAGGAAACCAAGAGTCGTACTCCAACTCTTCTGGGTGTTGAGAGCAAAACACGTTCACGCTGCCGATATTTCCTCCAATAGGCGTTACCTATGTCAGGGTTATGTTTTCGGGATGCAGCAGAGTTGTGACTCTTCAGAGTTGGTGCCGGCCTTCAATCGGCGCCATGTTGGACCCCAGAGAGGTTTAAAGATTGTGCGCGAACGATATGAGCCAAATACAGCTGTGATATGCCGAGCGTATCGAGCTTTCACTCTAGGGCATGTGCGTGCATGTTCGTGTCCCGAACCCAAGAACTTAGCTTCTAGCACTCTGACACTCCTAATTACACCCCAAACCCTAATATACAGGGGGTCCAAGTACCCGGTGACCGTACTCCCCCTAGAACCCCTGTATACGTATAGTATAACGTACTGGCTCCCTGTTGGGGCTATATTAAACATGATCATTTTTAAGCCTAACTGGGCTTTATTCTAACAAGAATATAAAATTGTAGCCAACAAGGACCCAGCAACCCCTAAACCCTAAACCCTAAACCCCTAAACCCCAACCCTAAATACCCAAAAAGGACCCAGTTACCCCCAAAGGCCTACTCCAGTACAGTATAAGCTAAACTCTAAACCCTAAACCTTAAACCCTAACCCAAAGGCCTATTCCAGTTGCTGGCCTTTTTCCTTTGCTTCTGTCTCCCAAAAGAGACGAACCCGGGCTCTGACCTCCCAGGCAGTGAGACATTCCACCGGAGCTTTATCACATCACCTTCTCCTTGGCTTCGGGGTGCAGGGTTTAGGGTTTAGGTTTAGGGTGTAGGGTTTGGGGTTTAAGGTTCAGGGTTTAGGGTTTAGGTTTAGGGTGTAGGGTTTGGGGTTTAGGGTTTAGGGTTCAGGGGGTTTGGAGTGCGGGTGGAACTTTATAGGGAAACTACAGGTGGGGAGTTTAGGGTTTTTAGGGCTTCTATAAAGCTTCTATAAGGTATATCGACCTTCTATAAGGCTCCTATACCACCTTCTCCCTGGTTTAGGGGTTCAGGGTCTAGGGTTTAGGCTTAAGGTTTAGGGACCGGCTTCTGCTTCCGGCTGCTCCTGTTGGAGCTTCATGAGGATTTTCTAGCGGGGTTCTCGTTGGTTTGTAATCTGTAACCCTAGGGGTCCAAAGGACCCTAGTAATCATATACTTGCGATACGGATAGTAGTTTTGTTGTTTAGTATTCAGAAGAGTATATGATGATTATTGGGTACTTGGACCCTTAGGGTAAGGGCGTCAAGCGTCTCCTGCATCGAAGTCTGTTCGCAGCCAACCCAAGCCAACCCGAAACGGAACTCTCTAGGGCTCTCGGCTACTATTTGGGTGACCTAAACAGGTACCCTCATTTCGAGATCTGCCTGTTTGGGGGTATACTTGGAGATCCCGGAATCCCTTTAGCAAGAAGCCGCCCTCAACCCTAAACCCTGTCAACAACCCTAAACCCTAAACTCGGAATCCCTATAACAAGAAGCCTAAACCCTAAAACCTAAACCCGGAATCCCTACATCCCTATAACAAGAAGCCGCCAAAACCCCAAACCCCAAAAAACCCAAGCAGCTCGCAGGTGCCTGGAGCCCTAAAGCCCAGAGAGACCCAAACCTCGAACTCCAAAGCCTCCGTGACCCTAAACCCTTAGGGCTCCACCCAGACCACCGGAAGGATCAAAAAATAGATCCCCTATAAGGGAGTTCCTTTAAAGTACCCTTAGTCGTTTAGGGTCCCAAAATAATTAAGGGATCTATTGTTTAAACCCTCAGGGCCTTTAAGGGGCAATAGGAGGGACCCCTAGAAGCCAGACCATACGACTCCGCGTTGGAATCGCCTGTTTGCAACAGGCGTTTAGGGCCAATAGGAGTTCAGCGTTTAGGGTTTAGTTTAGGGTTTAGGTGGTAGAGAAGGGCTTGGCTTTTAAAGGGTCTTCCTGGAATTTTAAAGGGTTACTCGAAGGCTTTCGTAGGGCAGTTATAGCCGATTATGTTTTCTTTCGATTGACCGTAGACTTGCCAATAGTAGGTTTACAGAGCAGTAAGGCTTAGCGCGAAGGGTATCCCAGACCACCGGAAGGATCTAAAAAAATAGATCCCTTTAAAAGGGAGTTCCTTTAAAGTACCCTTAGTAGCTTAGCGTCCCAAATTAGGGGATCGATTTTTTAGATCCTTTTTGGTGGTCTGGGATGACGACCCGGATTTCCAACATGAGCACGACGCCTCGGTATGATTTTGCAATGGTTCTGAACTCCACCTCCTGACGTTTAGGGTATAGGGTTTAGGCTTTGGGATTTTGGGTTTAGGGAATTATATAGGCTTTAGGCTTTGGGGTTAGGGTTTATAGGGATTATATATACACCTTGACGTCGTTGATACTTTAAAGGAAGCTACAGGTGGGGAGCTTAGGGTATATAGGGCTTCTATAAGGCTGCTAGAAGGTATATATTGACCTTCTCTCAGACTCCTATAACGGTAACTACCCACCTGAAAATGTCCTAGAATACTGCACCTTAAACAAAGGGACCAGGCTAGTAGTTGGTCCGCTGCAGATCTTAAGCACAAAGATCCTGATGCCTACTACGGTTGATGATATAAATCCTGCATTACCATAGTAAGGAATAAACCATAATTTCATAGTTTGGGGTGCTTACTTCAGGTAATGCAGGATTTAATTCATCAACAGTAGTTCTCTAAATTCGGGTCCCCGTAGCCTTTTAGGCGTACATATCTAAGGGCTTTAAGCTCTAAATCACAGTCTTTCATATGGGTAGTTCTCTAATTTAGGGTTTTATATCATCAAACAGTAGTCCTAAAACCCTAAACCCTGAAACCCCAAAACCCTGAAGCCCTAAAGCCTAGACCCTAAAAAAATCACCTAAACCCTAAATCCCCGAAATCCCCTAAACCCTAAATCCCCTAAACCGTCATCAACAGTACGACGGCCCTTGATCTGAATTTATGGCAGACTCGCTGCCGCCGAGGAGCAAGCGATACGCTTGACCATGTTCAAGTACTCCCTATACTCGCTCACCTTTAGTGGTCGTGAACCCTAAACCCTAAACCCCTAAACCCCTAAACCCCTAAACCCTAAACCCTAAACCCCTAAACCCTAAACTGTGGTTTCGGGTTGAGGCCGACTCTGTTGAGGGTTGAGGGAACTCACCTTCAGGGTTTGTGTAGGGGTTGAGAGCGTTTAGGAGTGCCGGGTTTCAGGCTTTAGGGTTTAGGGCCAGTTTAGGGTTTAGGGGTTTAGGGGTTTAGGGTTTAGGGTTCAGGGTTTTGGGTTCAGGGTTTACCCTTTGACCGACCGTCCTTCGAAGATAAGGCAACTCGGACTAGATGCTGCCTTCGAAGTCCCAAACCCTAAACCTTAAACCGGGCCCTAAACACTGAGCCCCGACGGCCTCAACACGCTCCTTCCTGTAGCCAGATCCGAAGATACGCCCTGCTCCACAAAACTGGCCCTCTTCAGAGCGCGAAGCTACCATGACCCTCAGAAACTTGATAGTGTAATATCTTCTGGTCGGGTTCCATGAAGGGTCTTGCGCACAAAGCTGGTTAAGCTGAAAAGCCGTTCTGGGTCAAGTTGTTTGCGAAATTGGCCAAGGGTTTGAATGCGGATTCCGGAGCACTTGCTGGCCTCCCCCTCATCTTACTTCCCCAATAAGCCAGGGAAAAATAAAGGTTAAACTTTCAGGCTACTACTAAATTGTAATAACCGAAAAAGTTTAAAGGTTGGGTATTGGGGAACTAAGTCATAACAGCCCAAGTCCCCAACGTGACCACGCGGTGGCGCTGGGACTAGGACACCATCGTGGCGCTATCATTGGCCTTATAGAACTCACCCCGAACCACGACACCCAGAGAGCCCAATACCCTTAATTAAGGAATATAGACCTTAAGTCATAATATCAAGGCCCCTATAATCTAAGGTATAACCCTAAACCCTTAACCCTAAACCCTATAAACCCTAAACGATTCCTTAATTAAGGGGTGTTGGGCTCTCTGGGAACCACGAAACCCTCACTCCAAGCTTCTCGCCGGCACATGCAGCTTCCATCGCAGCAGAGAAATGAAGTGCACCTGAAGCATCAGAGAACCCTAAACCCCAAACCCAAAACCCCAAACCCTCAACCTAAAAAGGGCTTGGCTTTCATTCTTTTAATGTAGGGCCTTAATAATTAGAACAGGGTTTTAGGGCCCATTATACTACAATTATCATAAGGAACCCTCAAAATAGGATTGGTAGTTACTATTCCAGCCGCCCCCTACATTCGCTCCTAGATGAAGGGCTTGGAGCTGGCAGTCTCCTTGGGCTTTCGTTTTAAAGCTCGGGGCGTTCTTGCAAGCCTCGATGTCAAAAGAGACGCCGAAAGCTAATCTCCTCTTCTTTGCGCTTTGGGGTTTTAAAAATTGCCCTAAACCCTAAAACCCTAAACCCTAAACGCTAAACTCTAAAACCCTAAACCCTAAACGCTAAACCCTAAAACCCTAAAACTCTACACCGTCCTGGGCTGATGAACCTTGAGTCGGGGGGCAATGTATGAAGCCCGAAATCCCTAAATTAGGAACCTGACTAAGAAACCCTGGCCCTATAACACCAATCTATTCGGGTTCATATTGAGAACCCTAATAAAGCCCCAGGGTTTCTGAATCAGGTTCCTATACTAAACTCCACAGCCCAGGCCCTGAATCAAGACACAGACCCTGATGCAGGAATCCCCATGCTACTTCTTCTTGGTTCATAAGTAGCCTCTTTAAAATAAGGGTACCCTTTTTTCCTACTATTCGGTTTAGTAAGGGGGCCTTAAGAGAGAAAGGGCAAAAGGGCGCCACTCAGGGACCTAGTAGGGCTCTCGCAACAAGCCCGACCTTCTATTTGACGGCTCAGAGATCTCAGTGCTGGCAAGTAAGCAAGGCTAGAAGTAGGTGAGTGAGTTTCAGCAGCAACCTTCAACTTACAACGGTAGCCACCTT